GTGACACGGAAAGACTAGAATCAGCCAGTCCCCGTTTTCTCGGGTCAGGGGTAGCCCTCGTCCCTAAAAGGTGGCCCATGTTAGCTTCCTGGTTGAAGTCAAACTTTGTGGCTGCTAACACGCCCCTCTGCTCCCACCCCACGGTCTGTGAGTCACTGCTTGGGAAGACAGGGCAGGACAGCAGAGACCGCGACAGAGACGGGGGGTTGTCTGATTCGGAAGAATAAGCACAGAGCAGTCGCAGGAAAAAGCCCTGGTGTGTTTGTTTTCCTGCCCTCGTCTCGCTCAGATTACAGGGGTCGGTGGGGTGGTGACCGCGTCCAGTCTGGGTTGCGTCCCCACCTCGGGCCATGTTTATTTTTGTTTCTCAGTCTGCTGTCTGCTTGAAAGTTGTAGGGCTGAAAGTGCAACAGTGCCAGTTTTTCCAGAGAAACCCTCTTGCTCTCTCTCGGGAAGAAGACAAGGGGCTCAGATGCAGAGCGAGATGATAGGCCTCTGGCCAGGATCCCACCCAGGGCCTGGTTAGAGCCTCCTGCCCCCCTGTGCTGGGCCCCAAGACGGGTCAGAGGACACAGGCCTGTGGACCCACTTAGAATAAAATGTCCAACTGTTAAGAAAGTGTGTAGTCTCTGAATGACATTTTGGATGAAGGCTGATGGAAGGTGGGTCACACAGCTTCGGGTGTGAGCCCTGGACAGTGTCCCTTCCACACCTAGACCTGTGCCTAGCACAGGTCCAGTTTGTGGTCCATGGTGGAAGTTGAATGCCCATCAGGGCACAGACTTTGTACCTTGGCATTGCCTCTTACCAGTTGCATGACCCTGGGCAGGTTACTTCCCAGATTCCTCTTCTGTCACATGGGAATCATGATATCTATGGTGGTGATGGTGGTGCTTATAGTGATGATGGTAGTGGCGGTGATGGTGATGGTAATGATGGTGGTGGTTGTGGTGATGGTAGTAATGATGGTGGTTGTGGTTATAGTGATGGTGGTGGTTGTGATGGTGACGTTGATGACGGTGTTGGTGAAGATGATGATGGCAATGATGATGGTGGTGGTTACAGTGATGATGGTGGTGGTGATGGTTATGGTAGTGGTGGTGATGGCGATGATGTTGGTGATGGTTGTGGTGTGGTGGTGGTGGTGGTGACAGTGGTGATGGGGATGATGTTGGTAATCATGGTGGTAGTGATGGTGACGACGACACCTACCTCATGAGGGGTCAGTGACATAGCTGTGTGAGCCCCAAGTATGGACCCTGCCCTGGGGCTGCAGCAGAACTTGTGTCCAAGGACAGCCCCCTTTGGGTTCTTTTTCCTGCTTTTGTCAAGAGTAATTCAGGAACTCTCTTCACTTGGCCTATAGGTACCAAACATTAGCCAGTGGCGGGTCACCGACCATGTTGAAGAGACAGTGCCTGTGGGCATTTTGACCCACACGGTCCCTGACCGCAACAGCATCTGCTCCCCTGGGGTTGGTATTGACTCCCCGGGGGTGCCCCCGTGCATCCCAATTTTTGGCCCCTGAGCAAGTAGTTTATTTTGCATAGAGTAGTATTTTGCGTGTTTTGAAAATGACTTCATTTCTCCCGTGCTCCCTGTAATTGGGTTCAGCTTGCCATCTGTGTGTCTCAACATCTTCGTCCCGCAGGGGCACTGGGAGTGGTGGGGAGGAGGGGGAGGAATCACTAGAGCCTGGCCCGCGAGACCCACCACACTGTTCTCTGCTTCCTGGAGCTGAGGGAGCAGCCTGCCTGTGATGGGTATGTGTCGCCAGGTGCCAGAGCAAGAGGTACAGCTCCAGCCCCAGGGCTGGCCCTTAGTTCTCCTGCTGTGACATGGAACCCAGGAAGCCTCTAGAAGCAAGCTGAAGAAAATCAGCATCAAACGCAAAAATCCACAGTGAGGCCATCAGGGTGACCAAAATGCTAAGGCTTTACTTACAGGTTTTGTTTAAGAGCAAGAAGCAACATTGCAAAAGCTGAAAGCTGGAGTCTGCCAACTATGGCCCGTGGCCAAGGCTGGCCGTGTGCTGAGAATGGCTTTTGATAAAAACAAAAACAAGAGAAGAGTGAGATATCATGATCCACGAGAATCACAGGAAATTCAAATTTCGGTTGTAAGTCAAGTTTAATGAGTGCGGCTGCTTTCCCACCACCGCAGAGCTGAGGTCTCAGCGGAGACCAGAACCATGAGTCTGAAAGATTTAGCCTCTGGGCCCTCCCTGGTGGCGCATCGGGTTAAAGCACAGCGCTGAGAATCTAAAGCCGCTTCCGCATGAGTTCGATTCCCGCCTGCCCCGGAGGTGACCACATGGCGTGGCTGACCTCTCCTGACCCGCCCACTGCTCCCCTCAGCAGTGTACTTCGTCGATCTGCCTGTTCTGCTCCCCACTCTGTCTCTGGTGAAGCCTCTCACTGCCCCTGAGCCTCTGGCCTGTACCCCAGTTCTGTATGCACAAAAATATAACTTTAAAAAAAAAAAAAAAAAAGATTTAGCCTCTGGCCCTTTCCCTGAAGGGTCAGTTTTAAAAATCAATAAAACTTTAGAAGTGTCATGGAGGCCAAAGAAAACAGTCAAAACACATTTTCTGAGGTTAAGCGACCACCACTCAATGAAATGCAGTGGGGGGTGGGGGGGTGGCAGGAGCCTCATCAAAGGGAGCCCAGCCTTGGGGACTGACCACCTTCACCCCCACAGTGTTCCCTTTGGTGACCCCCTCTCATTCACTCTGCCAGCCATCCAGGCCCCCATCTTTAAGGTAACTCTGGGTTCTCTCCCTGACCCCAACCCAACTTTGTCAAGCTTGTATTTTTTTTAAGAATTATTTATTTATGCATACAGAACTGGGGTACAGGCCAGAGGTGCAGGGGCGGTGAGAGGACTCATCAGAGACAGAGTGGGGAGCAGAACAGGCAGATCGACAAAGTACACTGCTGAGGGGAACAGCAGACAGGTCAGGAGAGGTCTGCCTCGCCATGTGGTCACCTTCAGGGCAGGAATTGAACTCACGCTGAAGTGGCTGCTGCCAGGTTGCAGTGCTGAGCTCTAACCCACTGTGCCATCAGGGAGGACCCCAGAACCCACAATTTTAAGATATGCCAACTGGAAGCAAATTGACCTCAAAGGCTGAGAGAGAATAGAAGCCTCTGCCCTGTTCTCCTCAAGTGACACTGGAACTCTGGACTCTGCTGCCTTTCACAGACTCATTGAGAGAGAGATCCTCAATGATTGTATTGTATCTGTCTGATCAAGAGAAGCCTAGAAAATGCTTCTCTCCTTCAATAAATGTGTGTACATATGTGTTTGTTAGGCATGTTTATATATATCATAAATATAGAAATACATATATGGAATAAAACAATTAAATATATAGCAAATCAAAACTAGACAGCTGAGACTTTTATAGTGTGTGAAAAACCAAGACCAAAACTTACCATGCAAGATAACAGTGAGCTAATTCCTCACACCTATGAGAATGGCTATTACCCAAAAGACAAGAAGCAGCGTGTGTTGGAAAGGTTGTGCACAGGGGGACTTCCCCTACCTTGTCACTGAGGAGGGATTAATACGTCGGCATACACTGGAGGAACCAGTATGGAGATGCCTCAAGTACTCAAAAATAGAAATTCCAGGCCCTCCCTGGTGGCGCAACGGGTTAAAGTGAAGCACTATGAAGCTGGCCGTAACTGCTTCAGCACAAGTTCGATCCCCAACTAAGGAGCTGACCCACATGGCCCAGCAGACCTCTCCTGACCTGCCCGCTGCTCCCCTCAGCAGTGTACTTCGTCAGTCAGCCTGTCCTGCTCCCCACTCTGTCTCTGGTGAATCCTCTCAACCCCCTGCACCTCTGGCCTGTACCCAGTTCTGTATGCATAAATAAATAAAATTTTTTTTAAATTATAGAGGTTTGGTGACTTGTATGGAGATTCATTATATATGTTCATCTATGTGTATGTTTGTATGTTTAAATATATATGTAATTAGATACATATTTAATAACAATACACATGTAGTTAAATATATATTTAAATGCAAAACATAAAGCTATTTGTATATTTTAATCTTGGGAAATAGTGTGTGTGAGGTACACATGTATGCATAAAGAAAAGCTGGAAGAATAAATAAAACTTTCAAAGACTGAAAATGGCACAAGCTGAAGGACAGAAATGAGAGCCTCGGGAGCAGGCACTACCTGAGAGTAACAAAATACCGTAAAAAATAATGAGATACGCAGGCCATTTTAAAAAGCAAGATAGCAAAGCATAAGGTAGGAGACTCAAAATAGAGATAAAAATTTTAAATACTAGCATAATCCAAAGGTGTCTGAAGGAACCAGAGCAAAATGGCACATCCAAAATCCAGAAATTCAGTTACAAGTTACTTTTTTTTTTTTTTAATTTTAAAAATGAAATGCTTTTGATAAAGATGAGGACCAAGTACGATCCTTTAGTGGGTGCTGTTGAGCCAGAGCAGGTTCTCAAGGGGTGCTGGGCTGGGGTGCAACTGCTTTTCGGCCCCAGAGCCTCAGACCCCCAAGGGACCTTGTCCGGGACTTCTCAGCCCAGCCCTCAGCCCAGCCCTCTGAACAGCCGCCCGGGACCTCCAGGGACCCCCCACCGCACCCCTGGGGGACCCTCTGGGCCCCACCGCCTCTAAAATGCGAGATCAGATTCCAGCCCCTGGAGTTCATTTCACATGGAAGGAGAAAGCGCCCTGGGCCTAAGAACCGGCCTGGCCTCTGAGCCCGCCCCTGGTGTCCAGAACAGGCACCTGCGTGATGTGGGCAGATTCGAAGAGCAGGGACAGCTCAGTGCCCTGGGCCGGACCCCCGGCCCCGGGGTCCTGAGGGCCCAGGTGTTGGGGAGGCCGGCGGCGGTGGAGAGCCACCTGCCAGCACCCGGGGGTGGCACCTGCGTCTCGCTGCCTCCCTTCACCCCCACACCCTCAGATCCCACAGTCCTTCGCCCCAGCCTCATCCGCCATGCTTCCTTCCCCAGGTGGGCCTTGAACCAGGATGGCTGAGCCCCGCCAGGACTTCAATGCCGTGGAAGATCACGCTGGGATGTACGGGATGGGCGAGAGGAAAGATCTCCCCGCCCAGGGGGGCTACACCCTGCTGCAGGACCACGTAGGGGACGCCGACCACGGCCTCAAAGGTGAGCCTCGGGGACCACAGCCGCTTGCTTGGGAAAGGCTGGCAGGGAGATGCACCCCCAGGCTTGCGGGGAGTTTTAAACCCCTCGGTATTGCTAACTGGTCAGTAGAGGGAGGCCTCGCTCCCTGGAATGAGCGAGAATCCAGCTCTGGGAAGATGGAGCAACGGGAGTTTGTTTGCGGCTGAGAGCTGTGTGGCTAGGACGCGGGGGGCCGGCCGCCCCAACAACACAGGGCCTCTGTGAGCCTTTAGCCACACCTGGAACCCAAAGGCCAGCAGAGGGGTTTGGAATATCACTTCCCTCTTCCTCACAGGCCTGTGAGGGCTCTACTTGGCAAAAGCTGGTTATTCTGCAGTTCTACCTTGACAAGCCTCTTCAGCTTCTAAACATTCTGTGATAACAGGCTGTTGGTCAAAATGGCTGGGCCTCCCCTCTCCCCTCCCAAATGAATGTGTTCTATGACCCCCAACTTTCAGGGGACCCTGTGGACCACATAGAGCCCTCTCCCTGTCCACATGATGCCTCTCAGTGCCCTCTCCACCCTCCAGACCAATTTCTAAAGTGACGCATGGTCTACTTTTCTCTTTTAATCCTAAAGATAGTAAAGGCCTTTTGCAGAGTGGGGTGGGGAAATGGCTGGAAGGTGGAACCCCCTATGGGAAGTGGGCTCTCTGGGGTCCATGAATCCAGGAAGGTTCCCTGGAGGAGGCGGGTACCAGGAGGGCCCTGGTCTGGAAGCCAGAGGAGCCACCCTCCTCCCTTCAGGGTTTCGGGACTATTGGGGCTGGTTCTAGGGGCTGAGTTCTGTCTGTTCACTAAGCAGGGGGACTCGTAGGAGGCTGAGAGGCTTCAGAATTACAGATTGGGCTCCAGGTTGGGAGGAGGTGAAAGAAAGAGAGGCTTGAATCCCTGGCACCTCAGGCCACCCAGCCAGAAGCTCTGGGTGGGGGAAATGCCCGCTCCAGCCAAACCTGCCCCCAGACACCCCAGACACCCGACACCCCAGAGAGAAAAGTGCGTCTGAGCTGCCTGGGCCTAGTCTGGCTGCAGCCTTCTGCCCTGTGCCAGTTCAGCACAGAGGTGGCGCCTGGGAACTTTCTTCTTGGAGTCCTCGGGCTCTTCTGCTCTTCTCTCCCCACCCCAGTTAAGTGAGGTCCTCCAGGGCCTCTGCCACCCCCACCCCACCTGCCCTCACCAGCAGCTTGTGCCTGAGCACTGGAGACAGGGCCAGGTTTGGCCTGTTCCCCTGACCGAAGCCTGAGAGTTCCCTGCCAAGGACTCGCTGCATCTGCTGTGCAAGGCTCGGGGTACGGGCAATAAGACTCAGAGCCCCCTATTCCAAGGGAGCTGCCTCCCAGGACGAGTCCCCGGGCTGCTGCCCTCTGGTGTGCGGGCACCCCGCTGGCTTCCAGGGTGATGCTCATGGCCGCCCAGGGAGGCAGGTGCAACTTTGCCCGGGTTGGAGGTAACAGACATCTCTCTGAGCTCCTGGGCCCGTGCAGTGTGGCGAGATCAGAGCCGGGCTCTGCCCCAGGGCCGCTGCTTGGCCTCAACGCCTCAACCCTCCGGCCCTGGTAACTTCAGGAGGCCACCTGAGAATCCCCGCGTGCTAATCCTGCCCCAGTGAACTGTGTCAATGCAGACAACTGTGCTTCCGTAACCTAGTGTAAACTTAAGCTAAAAGTACAGGTTGTGTGCTGCAGTAAAGGTGTCAAGAACTGGGAAACGGTGTGGGGTCTACCCCCCGGTGCTTTTTACACATTTTTCTATAAATCAAAATTTATTCAGGAGTAAAAACTTCACTTTTTTTAATATGGGAGGGGAGCAATTTTTACCGCTCTTACATTTTGAAGGGGAAACTAAATTTAATTTGTAAAGTTAAGAACAAGTTTTCCAAGTTCTCTGTGTCTCAGGGCTGCATGTGGTGTGTTTGCTCAGACGGCTCCATGCACCTATGAAATGTGTTGGGAAGTTCTGTGCGAAATGGTGTAGGTGATACCTATCTATGGAGATTTTATCTAGATGTGGAGATTTTAGGCCACTGCCCTTCTTGTAAGTGCTGGGGAAAGAACACATTTGAGTCATTTGCTTCCCCCAACGAATATGCCTCCCTGGAAAGCAAGTGACACCTCAGAGGGTCTCGTCGTGGTCCTCATCACACTCATTCTCCTACAAAGGCGTTAGCGTGCCGCTGTTTCTCTGTGGGGAGTGAGGCACGTCACTTGGCAGGTGTCACTTTGCCAGCAGCCTTTGAGTTAAGTGACAGACTATTCTGAATAATGACAAAAGCCACATGTGAAATACCAGGACACAGAGTCTCTAAGCCGTGGCTGAGTCGACATGGCGCAGCCAGAGGGAGCCCCAGTGGGTGGAAGTGGTTGACTCGTCAAGGAACCACCCTCGTGAGTCAAAAGGTGTTAGAGGCTTAACTTGTACCTTCCAGACAAGACGTGCAGAAGATGCTTCCCCTCCTCCTCTCCCTCTCCAAGAACATGAACGAGGACCGTGCGGTGCTGGGCAGGCAGGCTGGCACAGGCCGGGTGGTGCAGGGGTGGGCAGGCGTGTAATGGCCTCATACCGGGCCCGGGCCGCGGGCTGCTGGCCCCGGCCAGCCTGCGTGGCCTCACCACGTGTTTGCCAGCTCTGCAGACTCCAGGGCCAGCAGCTGGAAGCTGGCATAGGACCCCTCCTCCGTCAGGGTGGGGTCCAGGACGGGGTGTCCAGGCTGGTGTTCAGGCACGGGAGTGGGGTGCTGATCGGGCAGTGCGTGTGAACACCTCCACTTCCTCCTGTCATCTTGGGGTTCCGGTGGGTGCCCGGGTCTGGACCCCGTCCGAAAGCCGATGCCAAGGCTGCCTCCACCGGCGGGAGTGCCCCACAGAGGACTCCCAGCTTCGGGCTGGGGAAGGACAGGTTTCGCGTAGGTAACTGGCTGACCCTCGAGGTAGCACTCGGGCTTGTCCGCGCGCTGGGAGACCATCTGGCTGGAGGGTTCCCGGGCTAACGCCTGGCCAGAGGCTCAGCTTTGTGTCTGCCGCCCACTTGTCTAGAGAAGAGGCCCCCCCGCCGCCAGCGAGCCCCACTAAATCTCCCCGGCTCTCTCCGCGCCACCGCCCGGCTCAGCTCTTTGCCTGGCGGCCCGGCACGGGGCCGGGGTGGCCGGGCGGGACTGGGGCTAGTCCCCGGTGGGTTCATCGTGCGACGCCGCTCTGCCCTCTGGGTCTGGATTCACAGTGGGTGACTTCAGCTGCGACCGGCACTGCAGCCAGGGTCCCCTGAGGTCGAAAAGGGCGAGGCCGCCATTCTGAGGGGCTCACTGTGTATGTTCCAGAATCTCCCCTGCAGACCCCCGCCGATGATGGATCTGCGGAGCCCGGCTCTGACACCTCTGATGCTAAGAGCACTCCGACAGCCGAAGGTGGGGCCCCCTCACTCATCGCTTCATCCACACAGCTCCCTCCATGCTTCCAGCCTGCGCTTAGCTCTGCTTGGAGCCCACTGCCACCCCTACCGGCTGCGCTGGCTGCTGCCTCTCCCTCTGGCTGGCACTTTGCAGGACGGGGCTCCGCCCTGGGCCGCCACGGAGCCCGGCCCTGCCTCCACGCCTGCTCATGCGTGCCAGCTGTGAGCACCTTCATTGCGCGTGTGCTTCAAGGGGAACACTGTCGAGGCCGGAATCTGTGGCAAAGCAGGGCCCAGACAGCGCCACAAGCCCTGCTCCGTGTGGGTTGTCCTCCCCGACGCTGCTTTCCTGGGCCCAGGTCCTGGGCAGCCTGAGGGAGGGGCAGGCCTGTGCGCGCTTCTGGGATCACACCTAAGGCTGGTCTCGGCGTCGTATCCTTTGTCTTGGGCCCTGGGCTTCGCCCGGGCCTCTGGGCCCGGGCCACGGTGTTGTCCAGCCCAACTTCTGACCTGTTCTCTGTAATTACCGTGAAACTCATGTACTTCCTGAAGTGTGTGCCTTAGTCCTGATTGGGACCCCCGCTCTCTTCCTTCCCATCTGTGCCAGTCAAGGCTGAGTTGAGCGACAGTAACGGAAATCCCAGCTAACTGTGGCAAGATGGGAGGAGGTTTATTTACCGTGCATAAGATGCTCGAGCCTGGGCAGCAGCATCCTGCTGTCCTCGGCTTCTTCTGTCTTTATCTTCAGCCACCCTCGTGGCTACAAAATGACTGCTGCCCTTCCGGGCATCACATCTGCCTCACAGTCAAATGCAAAGTCGCGAGAGGCCTCTGACACCAAACGTGTTCTCTTGTTAGCAAGACCCATGTCTCCACAAAGCCCCTCTGGCTACCTTCTACTTCATCTCATTGGCCAGAGCTGTAAGGCTGTAAGGGAAGCTAAGACATGAAGCGCTTTGCTTTTTAGTCTCTTTGGCAGGAGAGATCAAGAGAGAAGAGCATTTAGAGTGGCTCAGAGAGACCAGTGCACAGCATCTTCCCTAACTCCATCCTTTCCGAGGCGGCGCCGGACCCCCTCCTTCGGCCTCGCTCTTACTCTGGCTGCTGGGTGGCAGGGTGAGCGCCTGGCCCGGCGGCTGCCAGCCGCTAGTGTGTCAGCACAGCAGCCGCCAGGCTGGCGGGTGTGGCCCTCCCTCCCGGCGCTCTGCGCCACCCTCCTGCAGCCGGCCTTCCCAGACGTCTCCCACGGATCCCGTCGGGACAGTTTTGCAAGTTGTCTGCTGCCCCAAAAACGTCTTGGGCCCCTAGTGCCACATTCCACACGAGCGTCCCCAGTCACGGTGCTCAGGGCTCCATCAACACTGTTCTGGGTTCATCTTCCTGCCGCGCTCCAGTGGGCCCCAGGGGCTGCAGCTCACCCCAGGGGAAGGGGGCCCGGCTGGGGCTCGGCCGCGAGCCTGCACTGGGCGCAGAAGACACCGTGATTAAAAGCCTCCGTCTGAGGGAAATGACTCAGGCCTCAGAAGCGGAAGGCGGGCGGGCGGGCGCAGTCAGCTCCTCGTGCCCGCCGCGCGCCGGGAGTGCCGGGCTCTGCCCGGGCAGGGCTGTCAGTGCGGGAGTGCTCGCTCGGAGGCTGCGCCCGCTGCTCCTTCTGCACTTGGGCCTCTGCTCTGACGGCAGAGCTACCTGCAGGCCTGTGTCCAGCACCTGACTCTGGACAGGGCGGCCCGTCCACTGCCACCCAGGGACTCCCTGATGTGAACCCCGGGGTATGCACTCCGGGGGACAGGGTTAGAGCCGGGGGAGACCACAGCAGTCCTGTGAGGAGGAGGAGGAGACTCAGGACAAAGCGCTCGCCCAAGCCAGGCGCGGTCCCCAGAGCCAGAGCCCCGTGGCCGCGACCGTCCCGTTCTCTCCTGGGCTGCCTCGCAGCGCGAAACGTCTCTCAACCCGCATCTGCTGTGCGACGCACCTTCCTTAAAACCCCGGGGCCATACCCGGCGCCCTGTGTGGCTCTGTTCCCGTGGGCTGTCCCACGGCAGACGGCTGGGTGTCTCCTGAGCCCGGGCCCTCGAGCAGACGCCGAATGGCTTCCTGGGAGCTGTCCGGCGGGCGCCCAGCTCTGGGCCCTGCTTTGTTGTATTGCTTTTTTTTTTTTT